GACGATCAGTGATGGCTTAGCTAGTGATGAGGGAGGAGGGACTGACTGATTTTGGGATAAATCGTGTTGGATTAGCAACAAAATGAGTTTGAATCGAGATACTTTAATTCACCTATTTGCTGGAGGGTGAGTGGATTTCACAGTTGGTTTGTATTTTTTACTTAATTTGAATTGTGGATGACTATTCTAATATTTTTTTCTAAGGGAGGTGTATTATGTAGTCCATCGGCTTGACGGCTTTTATTTCTTCGGAGAAATATTAAGTAATATTTTTTTTTTTCTGTATCGGCAGTGATGAGCCATAGACTCTAATCAAAGTATAACAATTATACACTAATGGTCATAGAGTATCCATTCAGTTCTATATCACCCGAATGTTGAAGATGGGTCTCCACGAGGCCAGAATGGGAGAGTGTAAATAAGGTTGCTTATAATAACATTGTCATTGTATCATTGTATTTAGAATTTACCTTATTAGAGAAGGACATCTGTAAACTACCGTGCAGCATCATGTATAAATAATGCTTGTTCAGTCATTTTGCTAGATCATTTTTTTTAACACCTATATCAAGTTCACCAAGTATTGTTATTAGAATGAATGTCTTTCATTTGCCACTAATACCCAGGTTCCACTAACCAGACTCATCCCTGGCCTTATGGCCTCTTCCAGCTTCCTAGTTTACTGTTTCGATTACATTAGGCACATGCAGTATAACCCTGTCTGTCTTGTCTTCAAAATATTTTTAATGGGTATGGAACCATATAATATTTACCAAGCTACTAAGATCCTGGACTATACAGTATTATGTATTCAAATTAAAAAGGATAATAAAAATCATAGGATCTTAGCTACAAATGCTGGAAATTGGTTTGCCTTGTTCCGAGAGTGCTCCCAGGCCTGACCGAAAGGGGATATATATTTCTTGAGCCAGGTCCTAGAATCAGATAAGGCTAGTAGGGCCCTGGCTGAATCCTACAAGGTAGATTGTATTTGGGCCGGAGTTTGTATTTTACAAGTGCTTGAATGTTTTTGTTGAGGGTTTTAGTATTGCACATATAATTTCAGTTAAAAAAATATATATATGTATGCATACAATCATCAAAAGGTATGGATGTAGTTTGATATTGGTTTGAAACAAAGTTTTTTTTAGTAAATACTTAGGCAACACCTGTACATCAGCCACAATGTCATACTATTGAACATGTTCTCCATCCCTATTGGCACCTTGGCAATAGCCAACAAACTACCACCCATATTTTCTGGCAAGATAAGAGTTTGTAGACCATTGCAAAATACACATTGTGGAAGCTAGTTCTTTGAAGCTTCTAAAGCAGAGCAGGTGATCATTATATACTATACCACCATGGCAGATCTTAACAAGTTCCAAGTGTGTTTGAAATTGAACACAGTTGCTATAAAACAAGCAGAGAACTTTATCTTGATTATCATTTTATGTATTCACACATATTTAATGCCCTTTTTTGTTATTGTTATTATTTCTTATTTTCTTTTTTTACATTACCATATGCATTTTTTCCCATGGTACAATATAGAGAATCATCACATACAACAAAGGTTATTCTCCAATGACCCTTGTAGCTTTTTTTTCCAGTTTACGGCAGTATACACACACACACACACACACACACACACACACACACACACACACACACACACACACACACACACACACACACACACACACACACACACACACACACACACATGTATACATGTATACATGTATACATGTATACATGTATACATGTATACATGTATACATGTATACATGTATACATATATATACATATATATACATATATATACATATATATACATATATATACATATATATACATATATATACATATATATACATATATACATATATACATATATACATATATACATATATACATATATATATATATATATATATATATATATATATATATATATATATATATATACACGTACACACACACACATATATACATATATACATATATACATATATACATATATACATATATACATATATATATATATATATATATATATATATATATATATATATATATATATATATATATATACATATACATATATACATATATACATATACATATATACATATATACATATATACATATATATACATATATACATATATACATATATATACATACATACATATGCACCCATTTGTACAACAGAACTTTATAAATAAGACAAATATTCTTCAGTAATACCATAGATACAGTGGGAGAGAGACATCTTGCTAGCCTATTCAAGACTTTTGTAAACACTCCAAAAGCTACCTAAATGCCATTCACCTAGGCCTAAGGAGAGTAAGAGACAATATATTTTGCAAACCTGTTGAATACTATTAATACTGTAAGCACTCAAAATAAAGTTTAGTGTTATCTCATTCCTGCTAAAGTAATTTGCACTTCCTGCAAAAGTTTTAAGAGCTTGCATTACCTTGCAAATATTGTCTGAGGCATATTTTCACAATGAGTTTACAACATTTTTTAAGCTCTGATTCTTGTAATATTTTGACAAATTGAATGTTTTAAAGTTCAAGGTTTGGCAACATTAGGGATAGAAGATTATTCAGACAATTTTTTTGAGTTACTGAATTGGATATTCTGTAGATACAGATTGAACCAAGTGAAGAAGTGACATCATGAACTCAAGAGGCCATCCAGAGGTAATGGTCACATGTGTGTGCGTGGATATCTTCATGTGTGCGCCAGTGTACGTGCATATGTATGCGTACCTTTTATGGCAGGCTTGTTATCTTTCAAGAGAGATAAGACAAGTTCTAATTTAATGGTGATAGTGTATCATGTTATGATTTATTTATTTAACAAGAAATTATTGATAACAAAAAGAAAAAGTGATAAGGAGAAAATAGAATGGTGGAAAAGCGTATGTTATAATTTTCTTAGAAGTTTTGAGTGTTTGTGTGACAGTTATAGAATAGTTTTATGGATGTGCGAACCTTTACTTACTCTAAAAGATATAAAAGTATAAATGAAAAGATATTTCATTTTAAAAAAAATGTTATTGTATAATGGAAAATGTGTTTACAATTAAGAATTGCATAACATTAGCAGAGCTGTGGTATGCTGCTTCAGCAAGATGTAAGCAAGAATTTGAGCCCACTTGTTAAATGTTGTGTTCTGGATTCAAAATATTGCAGTTATTAGCTGAGTTGTGTGAAGATGTTGATATGGTTTATATTATAAGTACATTTTGTACCCTGTGCTTTAAATGTTATCTGTTAAGCATATATAACTCATGCTTTATTGCCACTTGAGTTGATGTCCTTTAGTTTTGTAAACTAAATCTAAACTAGATTTTTTAAATACTTTGTAAGTTGTATACAATATGAAGTTCTATTTTGGAAACCAGAAATTACCTGTATACATAAATATGTAGTCTTCTTTCATCATGAATCATTTCTTGCTGTTTTCCAATGAAATAAGCAGCCAGGTGCAAATGTAGAAGCTGTGGTCATCTCATTTAATTGTAGCCAAATATTTAGAGCTTGCCAGGTGATTCAGTGACTGAGGTTTTAGGCTGAGTGTATGTCAGTGATATACTAGCCTTATGTAATATCTGAATTTAGCAAACTTTCCCTGACTTTTTTTTTATATAATTTATTGGTTCAATGGATAAAAAAAAAATCAGGTATCTTCATGTAAGCTATATGTGTATCTACCTGTCTATCTGTCTATGTACAAATAGCTGTAAGCACAAGTCTGTACCATGTGTCTGAGTTTGGATTTCTCATAGTTTGCCAATTTCTTTTCATATTATCTGTAGTCTTCTCTTCCAGTTCCTTCCCATCACTTCTTCTTTTTACTTCTTCTGCATCATTAATAAAGTATATTTCTCTCTCCCTCCCTCCCCCTCCCTCTCCCTCTCCCTCTCCCTCTCCTTCCCTCCCTCTCTCTCTCTCTCTCTCTCTCTCTCTCTCTCTCTCTCTCTCTCTCCTCTCTCTCTCTCTCTCTCTCTCTCTCTCTCTCTCTCTCTCTCTCTTTCTCAGTCTTCTCTTCCAATTCCTTCCCATCACTTACTCTTTTTACTTCTTCAGCATCATTGATAAAGTATATTCTCTCTCTCCCTCTCCCTCCCTTCCTCCCTCTCCCTCCCTTCCTCCCTCTCCCTCCCTTCCTCCCTCTCCCTCCCATCCTCCCTCTCCCTCCCTTCCTCCCTCTCCCTTCCTCCCCTCCCCTCCCTTCCCCCCCCCCCTCTCTCTCTCTCTCTCTCTCTCTCTCTCTCTCTCTCTCTCTCTCTCTCTCTCTCTCTCTCTCTCTCTCTCTCTCTCTCTCTCTCTCTCTCTGTATGTGTGTTTGTCTGCCTGCATACACGTGTAGTTCTGGCAAAGTTCATTAGCACCACAATCATTGCTTTTACTCCAAATTTTTTGTGTGATTTTTGGTTATTAGTTATACAATTATTTTTTACTTGATTATTTTCAATATGTTTACAATACAATTTCATTATACAGGAAATAATAGTTACACAAATGCTTTGTAATATGATAACAAAGCTAGACTGATAGTTATCACTAGTTTACAATAGTTGATATTACCACAAGCATATATATTATTATCATTGTTATGGTTTGTAGTAGTAGTTGTAGTAGTTTTGCTATCATAATTGTTATTATCATCAGCAAGATCATCAGTTTCACTTTTTTTATATTACTAATATATGTGTGTTTAGCTTCAGAGAGAGTATTTTCCAATATGAATAAGTATAGTTTTATCATAACCACTTGTCCATTTTTATTATTAAAAAAAGAATTCAATGTGGTATTGTCCCTGCCATGTAAACAGAAATATTTATCAGAAAATCAGAAAATAGATGACCTTCACGTTGCTTCAGATAGGCTTCATGCATTGTGAAAGTATCGCACACAAAAAAAAAATGAAATCCACAAAGATAAGATGAGCACAGTCATAAAAGTTAGATCAAACTAGTGTAGGAAGTAAAAAAGATATGAACAGCTTACAAAAGATTGGGTAGAAGTGTGAATATCAAAGGGAGACTGAGTTGAGTGAATATAGCCTAGGCCTATGTCATCTTCTACCCTGTAGAAGATGACATGACTAACAGAATGGATTTATATAGATATGGATGTATATTGATACTGATAAGGTGAATGTAAGTTTGAAAGAAAGGTACATGGAGAGGAAGAATTCTCCAGATGGTTCACCTGGATTGCACATAACCCAAAGGTCAAAATTGCATGGCCTCATGTTATTAGAAGATTGTAATACATAGTGGGATAAACTGGTAAGCTACTTTTATTGCTTCTTACTTGTTTACCCCCATGAAGATTCAGGAATAAGAATAACTTCATGATGTGATACATTAACTAGAGTTTCAAGTTTGAACAGTTGTTCTGTACTTGAATCCGAATTTTAAACTTGACACATGTATATGAACTTTTTGAAACAAGATTATCACCAATACTACCACCACCACCAGCATCTTTATTATTTTAAAAATCAGGAAAGGAAAAGACAAGCAACAAATATTAATCAAATAAATTTATTTTTGATAACCACCTTGAGGCATTGGTTTAAACATTTATTATGAAATTTATGATGGATTTCCGTGGCTTAGGGAAAAAGAGTTTCATCAGAAATATCATACAGTAGGATTACTGAACATTCTTAGAATAATGTAAATATTAGGATTCTTTTTGCATTTATTTGTAATAATAAACATTTATTTTCTTTATTTGTAAGGGGTACTGTTGTGTGGATACGACCTTGATAGTGCATATACTCTGTCTGCATGCTAATAAGTAGCGCACAATGCATCCTGAGTGGGCCAGTGACCCTGAGGTGGTGTTTTGTAAACGGTGTTAATGACCTTGGTGAAATCTATGGCTACAAATTTATTACTAATGATATTAGAACATATGGTGGAGGTTTTATGTAGTTCACTTTACTTTTTTATGAATTTTGTATTATTTTTGGTAATTTTAGTCTCTTCTGATTCTTTTTTATTTATTTTTTTTGTACATTAGTTTTTCCTTTTGTGTAATCTGTCATTTTCTCATTTTTCTTCTGTTTTTTTGTACTTCCTTTATCTCTCATTTTCTTTCTTACTCTGACAATAATCATAATGATAATAGCAATAGATACAATAGTCTATGTTATTAAAACTAGCTAATAGAAATAGAAGTAAAAAATTGTTTCCTCAGAAATTAAAGGACTAGACTAAACAGGCAAGAGCAGGTAGACTTTGTAATTGACTTCTTGGTGATTAAGCCCTTGGGAAGCTATTTGTATAAATAAAATTAATTGACTAAAACAACCTTGTGAGATGTTGCCATCTTTCGTACGATTGTTATAATACCTTTGTCAGTCAATCTTTTTCTTTCTTTCTTTTTCGTCTTATTATGATTATTATTATTATTATTATTATTATTATTATTATTATTATTATTATTATTATTATGCTACTCTATATTTTGTTTTTGTTTGTTTAGTGTCTTTAATATTAAAAGTATTACAGTTTTTATGATGGTTGGGATTTATGTATATATATATATATATATATATATATATATATATATATATATATATATATATATATATATATATATATATATAAATATTCTGTATAAGCTTATACTAGGTGTAGGCCTGTGCTGTATACATAATTTTTGTTGTTTGTTTTTGTGGTTATTCTTTTATTATCTTTACTTTGCCATTATTCTTGTTGTTGTTGCTGTTGCTTTCATCAGTATCAGTGCCGGGTGTTTTAGTCATCATTATAAACTTGTATTGTGATCTGTTCTACTTGATCTTGTGGCAGTTTATTTTGATTTTATACTTGTTTCTCTGCATTTAATCTTCGTACATAAATATTATCCAGTATCACGCTTTATTTATCAATTGTGTGCACCAGTATATTATTGTTATAATTAGTGTTATTCTTGTAAGTTGCAGTGTGGATGGTGTGTTCCCTAATCTGCTGATTCATTCACATCATTTATGCTTATACCCGAGTATGTTCTAAGTGCTGTTGTATTTTTAGGTGTATTGTGACAGGTCTTTTTATTCCTTTATGAAAAACATTGTTGCAAGATTGGGTGCGGAGAGTTTCCATTATGCTTCAAGACTTCAGCTGAAAATTTGATGCAAATGTTTAGGTATGTCTGTGGGATGATGAAGGAATAAATGAATGGTTAGGAAGATATAAAGGCTGTAGGTTGAAGTTATGACAAGATAATGGTGTGAAGCTGTTAATAAGACATTATAGATATGATTGAAGTCAAATCAAAAGGCATGATTATTTGTAATATTAATAGTTATCCCTTCAAAATGTTTACTAGGATGTAGGAAAGTACCAATAGAAGAAATTGCAAGAAAAATTATGAAGAGGATTTTGAATTATGGTAAAAATTGGGTTATTATTTGCCATTTCTTGCATCTTTGGAAATGGCCTTGGATATTTGATATGGTAATGACTTATGGTAATCACTTATGCAGTTACCCTATTACAGCATGTAAATATTCATTCCACAGTGACCAGTGTTGTTGGTCCCTTTCTATAGTGGTTGAATTAGTCACTGATTTTATTCATGTGCTATTCTTTTGACAACAGGTGTGGTGGGACCATGGGAGCTGTAGTAACATGCCCCCTGGAAGTGGTGAAGACGAGGTTGCAGTCGTCCACCTTTGGGATCATGAGCAACCTGCCTCCACCTGCAGCGCAACAGCGAGGCTCTACCACGTGCACAACCCTACCCCCCATCCACAGTCGGGGAGGCAACACGCGAAGACTGTGTACCAGTGCCATCAAGACTGGCACACAAGTCGTTCACCTATCGCAGCAGCTTCCCAATCCGCGACCACATACGTTGTCACTCTTCCATTGCCTGAAGTAAGATATATGTAGACTTTTTTTCTTTTTTCTTTCTTTTCTTTTCTTTCTTTCTTTAATGCTGCCATCTTTCTTTGTGCTATTCCTGGTAGTTTGGTTATCAGAAGATAGTTCTGTAGCTAGTAATTGTGCTGAACCAAATATTAACTCCTGTTTGTACTCAGTACTTTCTCTCTTTTGCTTTCTCCTTCCTCCCTCTCTCTTTCCTTCACTCTCTCTCTCTCTCTCTCTCTCTCTCTTCCCCTCTCTCTTTCTCTCTTCCCCTCTCTCTTTCTCTCTTCCCCTCTCTCTTTCTCTCTCCCCCTCTCTCTTTCTCTCTCCCCCTCTCTCTTTCTCTCTCCCCCTCTCTCTTTCTCTCTCCCCCTCTCTCTTTCTCTTTCTCTCTCCTCTCTCTTTCTCTCGTTCTCTCTTTCTCTTTTTCTCTCTTTCTCTTTTTCTCTCTTTCTCTCTTTCTCTCTTTCTCTCTTTCTCTCTCCCTCCCTCCCTCCCTCCCTCCCTCCCTCCCTCCCTCCCTCCCCCCGTCTCCCTCTCCCTCCCTCTCTCGCCTCCATCTCTCCACTCTCTCTCTCTCTTTGCCACCCCATCTCTCCACTCTCTCTCTCTCTGCCTCCCTCTCTCCCTCTCTCTTTCTTTGCTTCCCCCTCTCCCTCCCTCTCTCTTTCTTTGCTTCCCCCTCTCCCTCTCCCCCTCCCTCTCCCTCCCTTCCTTCCTCTCTCTCTCTCTCTCTCTCTCTCTCTCTCTCTCTCTCTCTCTCTCTCTCTCTCTCTCTCTCTCTCCCAATCTCTCCCTCCCTCTCTCCCACTCTCTCCCTCCCTCTCTCCCACTCTCTCCCTCCCTCTCTCCCACTCTCTCCCTCCCTCTCTCCCACTCTCTCTCTCCCTCTCTCTCCCTCCCTCTCCCTCCCTCCCTCCCTCCCTCTCCCTCCCTCTCTCTCTCTCCCTCCCTCTCCCTCCCTCCCTCCCTCTCTCTCTCTCTCTCTCTCTCTCTCTCTCTCTCTCTCTCTCTCTCTCTCTCTCTCTCTCTCTCTCTCTTTTCTCTCTCTCTCTCTCTCTCTCTTTCTCTTTCTCTCTTTCTCTCTTTCTCTCTCTCTCTCTCTCTCTCTCTCTCTCTCTCTCTCTCTCTCTCTCTCTCTCTCTCTCTCTCTCTCTCTCTCTCTCTCTCTCTCTCTCTCTCCCTCCCTCCCTCCCTCCCTCCCTCTCTTCCCCCCCCCCCCCTTCTGCTTGCTATTTTCTTTAATTATATATTTGAACCAAGAGTAAGGTTAACAGAAAACCCTAAGTCTTAGTATTTCTTCCACTGGCAAGGTGCCAGTCTATATCTCACTTGCCCTTATTTCCATGCTAGACTATATGTGTCAAGATATTTTCAATACTTGTAGATTGAAAGTGGGTGTCAGATTTTAAATGTCTTGCTTTTTTGTTAACCCTGTTTGAGTGTTTTCATGTAAACACTTCCTGAATTCTGAATAGCTGTAAGGAATTTGCACTATTTCTTGTAATAACATGTAGATATTGGGATATCCACTACTCTGAAGTACTATCTTGATGTGTCAGGAATGTAATTCTTTCATGTAAGTTATTTTAGTACATATGACGGAATTCTAAAAATGTGGTACTAGTATTTGGACGTTTGCCATTTCCATCGTAGGGAAATAGTTATGAGGAAGGAGAAATAAATATTTTTTATGTTTATTTATATTCCTTATTGTAGAAACTGAGCAACTGCCAACTCTGGCAGTACTGGCCTCAAGGCAAATACACCACTTCATTATGAATTAAAAGAGTTCCTTTATGGACTGATGTAATTAGCTCTCCATCCAGTACATTTTCTAGATGTTCTTTGATATTAGTGCAGTTGAAGAAAGTAGGAAAAAAAAATCAAGGAGAGTGAACACTGTAAACAAATGCATTCAGTAAAAAGAAGTTCATAAACAAGAAGCCAGATCTTTAACCCACATGTTTTTTACTTCTTTACCTTGCCATACTTTCCAGAGGCAAATGACATCTCTTTGCTGACACCTATGTAGTGCATTCTCTTGGCTCTATGCCCGAGGACATGCATTTGGCATTTTACTCAGAGTGTGTTTGTTGTAGCTCATTCAGCTTTTTTTTACTTGAGTGTTGTAACAATATTTAGTGGAAATTCCTTTGGTTGTGGTAGTAGGGGTTAGATTGGTTGTGTGTGTGTAATGTTGACTTCAACAGTGCTGATAAATTATCTACCTGGCTTCCTTTCAGTTAAACTACATTCATATAACTTTCTTGATACCATGATATAAGAACAGAAAAAAAGTAAAGAAATCAGTAGACAAGAGATAGTCAGATGTACACTGAGGATGTCATTTATGACAATTTGGGATTTTAATCAGTAGGCAAATGGCCAGTGGAATATCACCCAGTGGGCATGTTTTTTTATCAGAGTTTAAGAAGTTCAGATGATAGCATGAGATAGGAACTCGACTAATGTCCATTTTAGTTGCTGATGCAGACGAAAAGTCATTTCCTTTAAATTAGCAGAAAGACAAAATCAGTGTTCGTGCATGTAAACAGTTTTGTTATTTCCCCATTTCCTAGTCTCCTCTCTCCTTTGTATTTTTTTCCCAGTTTTCTTTTAAGAAAACTTGAAAAGATTAGATTGTTCATTTGAAAATGGTATTAATTAATTCTGAAGAAAATTATACCAATGTGAAAAATCTATAGTAACAGCTGCATATCATGTACCATTAGAAAGAAAGAGAAAAGTAAAATCAAACATTTGCATTTGCATTGTGTTGTTTGCATTTCACTTGATGAAGCACAGGAGCTTTTTTGTTGATTCTCAAATATATGTGGGTAATACTAATTTAAATTGGTCTTGTTATTCTACTTGTGTAACAGAATCAAACTGGCATAAAGTCGCACAATGAACACATAATAACATGTGGATTAGTGGGATATCCACTACTTTGAAGTATTAGCTTGATGTTTCAGGAATATAATTCTTTCATGTAACTCATTTTAGTACACATGACAGATACACGCATGTATTTCCCATCATCTGTGACTTGTCTGTAATAAGTGTGACCTATTTCTCATCTCCCTAGATACATCGTGGAGGTTGAAGGTCCACGCGCGCTGTTTCGTGGACTTGGGCCCAATTTGGTGGGCGTGGCTCCATCCCGGGCCATATACTTCTGTTCCTATTCGCAAATGAAGAAATTCCTTAACAATCACTTCAGCTCATCCGATACCCCTATTGTACATATCCTATCTGCCTCATGGGCTGGTAAGTACCTTGCGCTTTCTGTTTTTTTTTTTTTTTTCTTATTCTTCATCATTTCCTATTTCTTTTCCTTTTTTTCTAGGATGAATCTTTTTTAGACGAAGGTTTTGCACAGTGCAAGATATATACGTGTCATTGACCTTTCGCAGTTTATACCGTTTTCTTTAGGACTATTGAAACATCAGTTACATATATTTCCTTAAAGAAAAAACATTCTTTCCCATTCATCCCTCCTCGAGTAATGTTGCCAAGAACCACCATGTGGTGCCACTGATATTGCGTGTTGCCTTTATTAGGAGCGCCACTGATAAGTAACACGGGGGGAAAGTTGTTATTGTCGGGAACGATATCTAGACAGGATGTGTTCATTGTTGTCAGGGTGGACTAATTCAAGGTCTTGGTTGGCACTCCTACCCTTCCCTCCCCCAAAGTTCCCACTTCCCACTTCTCTCGCGCTTTTTGGTAACAAGTTTGTTGTAAGGAGAAAGGTCAGTGCGACAGGCAGGACCAACATAAATATACCCAAGTATATTCTTGCCGCACCAGCGGTACCTGACCTACATTCGTGTTGTTTGAACGAGTTGTGGCGTTACAGCTGTGTATGGATAAGTAAAGAACCTACTCGTTTTTTTCTTTCGCGTCTTTAATTGTAAGAGGAAGCAAATGTATAAAATGCATTGAGTGCATATTGTTAAGACTGATAATTAGTGGTGTATACTCTCATAGATTAGCACGTTCTCCGTGAACTCGAACGAATAATATGACCAAGATTATGATATATTGTCGATAGGTTTCTCCTTTTTTTGGAATGTGATAACATTGTTGTTGTTAACAGAGCCTTGAATGACGCCATTGGTGGAACAGTTAACAATAAAAGTGCGAAAGGGGGAATTTCCATGGCACTCTTGTCCAATAATTTGTCGCAGGGTATTGCAGTAAAGGGGTAACAAAGTCATCTCATAACGGGTCACTAATCAAATATGCCTTATTTTGATGGAATTATGTTCAATAGTTTACTTTAATCAGTTTTGTTGTTTCGTCGACCACGTGCTGTGAGGAGCGCGAAAAACGCTCCTTTTAAATACACATGTCTGCGAAGTCTGAAAAAAGTACCGTGCATGTGTGCTTGCTTGTGTTGTTGCGTATTGTTGTTGATGCATGTAAGTTTGAGTTGTTAATTTAACACATGACCGAACTTAAACTTACATGCAGCTTAATATTATTTTTTTTCCCCCAGTAATGTCACATTAGCATACATTTTCCCCGGTAAAGGACGGCGAATCAGACCGAAGCATGAATTATGAGGGTGTCAATTAGTTTGTTTTTTGTGGCTGACTAAAGATTGCCTGTTTGCGTATTTGTGCCAGCCAGTATGTATAGTGATTTATATATATCCTTGGCCAGTAGTAGTTTGGCTTACATACACAGTGTGGCGCAGTAGAGGAGTGTAGGTAGTCACTCAAAAGTGCCACCGATGACCTTGGCAGATGCTAGTGACTCGTGCCAGAGTTGCAAAGCTGGGTTCTTCCCCTCAGTGGAAAATAAACCCTTGGTTTGGTGGGTGTCTTAGACTTTTCTAAGACAGTTGATAATCCGTGATTTTCCCATGTTTTTATTGCGTGCTAATGTCAGGAAGTTATCTCCTTTGAGGGAATAATTGTGGTCGTTCGTTCACTTTTTGTGATGATCATATATGATGAATTTATAAATTACCTGCATGAGTGCCTATGGAAGAACGCTATGCTTTTGAAATTTGATGCTTTTCCATGCAGTTTCCCCCTTCAGGGCCGGACAGGCAATAATTCCCCCCCCCCCCCCTAGAAGGCTAACTTCGAAGTTGAAGTCTCAGATTATGACAGTACAAATAAAAAAAAAAAGGTTGTCTTGCCAAGAATGTCCCAGCTGGCAGCGAGACACCAAGATGTTTACAGTCGCTCTGCGGCGGTCGGTGAAGACACATGGGAAAGAAGCAAATAAGAAACATAAAAAGAAGAAGAAAAAAAAAGTTCTCATCGTCATGTCATGATCGGCTGGCCGTCATAACTGCGTTGTGTTTTGTATACCGGGTGTATGTGTATCAGATCTTAGTTGACTGATTAGTGACTCGACGGCGCTGTAGATTCAACTCCTTCCGTTAGCATTGAAATAAAATCACGAAGACCTGAAAAGACAGAACTGAAACCAACCATGAAATCTAGCTGGTATCCACTTTACAAGGGATGAAAATGTTTCTTATCAGTTACACCACAGTATATTTTCACAGAGTGTATATCATAACATACATTTGCCAACGGAGATGCGGCTACTATTTACAGGGTTGCTTTATAGCTTTCTTTCGTGAACCGTAACTCCTCTCTCTGAAACGCACTTCGTGTCAGGAGGGAGAGAGTGGACGCCGGTTAAATTCCATGGTTGGGTTCTGTTCTGTTATGCGAAGTCTTATCTGGAGTTTGATGAACTTTTCCCAAGTCTTTTCTATATATATTTGGTTGTCAACGGAAGGAACCGAATCTATAGCAACGTCGAGTTACTCAGCCGTCACGTGATAGCATTTGCTCCTTGTATGTAAAAATAAAGCATGGCATTAGCGCAGCAGACGTTGATGTGGCGTCACTGTTTTGGGCGGAGCAACATTACGGTCTTGAATAACGCAGCTAAAATAAACCGTCGCAAAAAGTATATAGACGTGGGCATAGGTTGTATTTCATAGCTTCTTACCAATTTAGGCTTTAAGTGACTTTTAAATATCAGCAAAAACATTAAGGGTAATTACCAGGCGATAAGTAAAGATAGTATAAAAACGCGAAAGTGAGCCCTTGCTAATGCGACAACGCGTGAGTGGGGAAGCAACCAGTTTCTTTCCTTTTCGTTCTCTTTCCCCCCTTTTTTATGATGACCTCGAGTTCTCCGTGCAGATGATTATCACGTGGGGTTGCTTCTATGCCTCGACTGGTCGGATGATTATATAATAGATGATTATGAATAGATTTCATAAAGTGATCATCTACGATGGTCTTTGTTATTAATGGCCCAGAGTCCAGTTTTCTCTTATTCAGGTTTTCGTCAAAATGTATTATGAGAAACATGTTAAACAATAATTTTCTGGGATCAAAATCACAGCCTCAATACTAGTTTAAAACAAAGAGGATGGAGAAGAGAGAGAGAAAAAAACTATTTTCGTTACAATGTTACACCTGGAAGGCGCAGCATTTAGAAAGGTCATCATTAACGCTAATTTTCCTTATTTCTGTAGCTCTTCTGTTGTGTATTTGTTATAAGTATACCCGTTCTTGTTGTACAGTGAATCCCATCGAGGTGGGATTAGTAATAGTGCTATTTATGTCACGAGTTTCCGTTACACTACAATGCACTGAAAGGTGTCGGCAGGATACGTAAAACGACGCAGATGTTCTTTCTTAAGGATACGTGACTAGAAACAAGTCTTTTTTAAGAGCTGCCATATAGGCTGTTGCCTCTGCCAAGGCATGGCCATAGAACTTTAGAAATAATGTTTTGTAAATGGATTTTCCTTTATTTGTGTTAACTAGGAGCGGCCCACTAACACCGAGTGAGCAGAGGGGAGTATACGCATCTCCATTAATAATGGATCCGGCGTGGAGCAAGAGAAGTGATAATGTAGACATTAGTTTTTCCTTAGTATTTATGTCACGATATTAGTTTCCATTACATTACAACTCTCTGAAAAGTGTCGACAGTATACGTAAAACGACGCAGATGTTCCTTCGCCTAGATACGTGACTAGAAACAAGTCTGTTTTAAGAGCTGCCATATAGGCTGTTGCCCCTGCCAAGACATTGCCATAGAACTTCAGAAATGTTTTCTAAAGGCATTTTCCATTATTTGCGGGGTCGGGAAGGATAACGTTAATTATGTGCGGCCCAACGTCACCGAGTAAGCAGAGGGAGCATAACTATCTCCTTTAATAATTGATTCGGCGCCGGAGTAACGCTTCTTCGGGGAGAGAGACACGAGGCCGTACACGCGGGCTGGCCGGAGCGAGCGCAGCGTACTCGGTGACCCTAGCACCGCGGCGTCCTTGCGGGGCCCATAGCTACGGTCTTGCTCCGTCCCTCTCACTCCTCTCTCTCTTCTCTTTTTCTCTTCTTCTCTTTTTCTCTTTTTCTCTTTTTCTCTTCTCTTCTCTTCTCTCTTCTCTTCTCTTCTCTTTTCTCTTCTTTTCCTCCCCCCTTTCTCTCTCTTTCTTTCTTTCTTTCTTTCTTTCTTTCTTTCTTTCTTTCTTTCTTTCTTTTTTACGCACTCAAACCTGCACGAACTGTTTAGTACACAAGCGTGTATAAATGTTTACCTCCCAACGTTGCATCTTACAGATCGATCAAACTGCTCGGTCGTTTTGGTAGCATGTATAACCGGACTCTCATTCGAAATAAAGAAAAGCCATTGCTCGTTGTAAAATTGTTTTCTTTCACTACAAATTTATGTTTCCTGGCGTACTAGATGAGTCGGCCCATTCTTTGTAGGTTGTAAAATGCTGATATATATGTTTCTGCAACTTGTGCGTTGAACTAAATTAAAGTTTGCTTGCGTGCAGCTGCAGTTGACGGCAGGGCCCCTTTCTCTTTCAACCCAGTTTAACCGTCACTTCAAAACATTCTCTCTCCTCTCCTCTCCGCTCTCTTTCTTTTTCTCTTTCTCTCTCTTTATCTCTCTCTTTCTTTTTCTTTTCTCTCTATCTCTTTCTTTCTCTTTCTATTTTTCTTTTTCTCTCTTTCTATCCCTCCCTCCCTCCCTATCTCCCTCCCATCTTGTGTTTGATATATTCACAATACTAAGGCAAAAGGTTCGCATGTCTAATGGTATCGTGCAAAGCTTAACACCAGTTATCTTAATTAAAAACAAAAACAAAAACAAAAAACAAGATCCAATGCAGTGCGATGCAGGTGACGTTGCAGTCAGTATCAAGCTAATGATCGCCCAGGCTTCATATAAAAAAATAAATAAATACAAGCGAAAGATTATATTTG